GAAAATAGTGGAGAAAGGGGAGCTCTCCTAGAGAGGATATTTGAGCAGAGGCTAAGGAGGCAGAACAGGAAGTTCTAGGAGGATGTGGGGAGTGAAGCTCCTCTCAGATAGAGAGAAAGACAAGTACAAAGGTCTTGAGCAGGAGCAAGCCTATCACGTCTAAGCAAGAGCAAGACCTTCACTGTGGCCAGGGCATGGGTGCTGAGAAGGACATGTCAGAACATCAGATGCTGGAGGGCATCAGAGTCACTGTGACCAGGGCACGGGTGCTGAGAAGAATATCAGCTGTTAGAAGGTATCAGAGGCGGTGATTTAAATTTACTCTATATGTGAGGGGAAGATGGTGATATTTTTAATTAGGACAAAGTCATGATCTCCCTTTCATAACAACAACAAAAAAATACCTCTCTGGTACCTTTCTGGCTGCTTTGTGGAGAGAGTATGATTTCAGTTCTCAGAGTCTCTTGACCTCTCACTATGCTTAAGGTACATGCTCTTAACTGACTAGTTAGTAGTAGTAAAATAATGAAAAAGCCACTGACCATACCTAAAGCTATTAGATACTAATAGTTTCAACTATGTGCTTTTTGTATCAATAGAATTTTCTAGTTGTTGAACATGTGCTTTTACCAAGCACTGATATATACATTTAACTTGTAGGGATGTGGAGAGAACTTAAGATAATGATTGCCCCCTCCTCGCCCCTGGAAAAAAAGACCATGAGAACTGGAGAGGTAGAATGGTCATCTTCAGATCATGTAGCTGGCAAGTAGAACTAAAATTCAAGCCTCGGTCTGTCTTCTCATCTGCCTGTGTTCCTTCTACTCAGCCATGCCACTTTCCATGCTGTAAATACTAGCTTCTGGGTCTGCCCGTTATCTTTACCAACCTGTGGAGGCATCAGAACAGAGAGACTTCTCCTATTTGTTTTTTTAATGTTTATTTTTGAGAGACCATAAGCAGGGGAGGGACAGAGAGAGAAGGGGACAGAGGATCCGAAGCAGGCTCTTCACTGACAGGAAGGGGGACATGTGGCTTGAGCTCACAAACTAGAAGGTCATGACCTGAGCCGAAGTCGGACGCTCAACCAGCTGAGCTACCCAGGTGCTCCAACTCACATCTTTGTTTAAAAAAGAATGTTTCCTTACTTCTCTCAACAATCCTGTGAAAGGGACACTGATAAAATTATCAATTCTCATTTTACAAATCTGTGTACTGAGGCTTAGAGAGGTGAGCTGGTTGACATGAACCAGAGGAAGGATTGGAACCCAGTTCTGTCTGACTCTAGAGCCCATGCTCCCTTTTCTCTTTCAGTGTTATCCAACAGAGTGTTCTACAATGATGAAAATACAGCCACCTGTGGCTACTGGGCACTTGAAATGTGGCCGGTGTAACAAAGGAACGGAATTTTAAGTTTTATGTCATTTTAATTAACTTTAAATAATCTCATGTGGCCAGCAGCTACCACAGAAGATGGTTTAACTAATACCATGCAAATTAAGACAAGGACTAATGACATACTTCCCCATCCCTCTCCTTCTTACTTCCACTGCTGACTGAGGACCGAGCATATATAGGGCAGTGTGTGGACGGGGGTTGGTGGAGCAAGGACGATCAGATCCTGTGCCTGCTCTGGCTTCTGTTTAAGGTAGGGAGATTAGATGTGTGCATAAATAACTAAAATACAAAGTTGAAGGTTTAATGTTCTAAGTGTCCTGAGAGCGGAGCCGATAAGAGGTGAGAGGGTATCGGGTCTCCAAGCCCACTCTCTTTCCTTATAGGGCAGTCAACAGCAGGGGGAGGCTGGCGGGGATGGGGGGGGCGCAGAGATAACTGGTATGGATGTGCCTTAACAATCACATGCTCCATAAATCGTCAAGCACTCTGTAGGTGCAGCCCTCAGAGACGACATTGTCTCTGCCTCGAGGGTTCATAATGATAATATTGCCAAGATCTGCATTTGTAATCTCATTTGCTCTTCACAAGCTCACTGTGAGGCATACAGAGTTCCGTCCCCACTCAGATGTGGCAAGAGGTACTCAGAAAGGGTAAGCACCTGCCCAGTGACAAACATGCAGTTGGGGCAGAGCTTTGGGTGCGGCCCTGGATTTTCTGACTCCAGAACTAGGTATCCCTGCAACTCCCTTGCCGCCCTTGGCAGATTTTATGAGTTACTGCTATCTGTCCACCCTTATTCCTGGCACAGACAAGACCTCCTAGGGAAATAATTTGTGAGGTTTAGGCAATTCTCAAGCTAGCTGGGACGTGCTACAGCTACACCCTTGACCCAGGGCAGGTCTTTTGGATGCACCAAGGTCTTTGTCATTAACAGGGGATGTGCCAGAGAATGAGGTCAGTGGTGAGACCATCCTGATGTGGCCACAAACAGGCCCAGATTCCACAGTCCTGAAGGTTGTCCAAATGGGCAGGCTTCTGAGGGACCCATCAGCATTCTTGGCATCTATTCCTGAAGGATCTCATCCCAGGAGAATCATAAAAATGTGGTGTTCTGCAAGACCCAGAGAGACTTTCCCATCTTCGACCCAGCTTCCTCTTTGTATAGAAGGAAAGATCAGGGCCTAAGAAAGGGGAGACAATTTGTACAGCCAAGGGCCAGTTTACTTCCCTGATATTGTTTCAAATCTGTATTTCTTGACCCCCAAAGCATGTCTCCAGGCATCACTTTAGGTCTTTCTTTGGGATTTGTTTTGAAAATGCAATACAAGAGCACACCACAGGCAAACGATTGCATAACAGTATTTGTTGATGTATTTACGAGACGGCTGACCGATGTCCGTTCAGGGACTTGAGAGTGTTGGAGACAGGAGAGCCCATGGTGCTCGTCCATCAAACCCCCTATCTTACAGGCGGTTGACCAAAATTCAGCTTGGTTAGTGGCTCGCTCAGTTCACATAGCAAGCTGGCGTCTTAACTAAGCGGTCTGTGTCAGTTTCTGGTGCCAGGAGCTCACTGCTTGACAAGCTTTGAGGGGAAGGCACGTATCACTGGCACAAGGTCTTTGCCTTGATGGCTCTGTTTCCTGGGGAGCCCAGCAGGTGACACATGCAGATACGCACTGTCACCAGCTCACTGTGAACTTGGAGTCCATCTTGGTGGTTCTGATGCAAACGCAGCTCAGCTCCCTCCTCCAAGGCCCAGTTTTCCCCAGGGTCTCCAGGACGATGCTCCTATTTCTCCCAGGATGCCCCAATCCTCTCATTTCTTTCCTTCCATTTTTATGGTCTATCCTAGTCCACTTTGACCTTCTGCTGGATAATGGACTCCAAGGAACGGGAATTCACTGCTTTGAACACCTACTGCAGGCCAGGATTTGCATGATTATCTCTTTTAAGCCTCTCAATAGCCCATGAAAAGGAGGATGTCATTATACCTTTCTGGGAAGGCAGGCTGCTAAGTCTCGGAGAGGAGCACTAGCTTGCCCAAGACCACACAGCACACACCTCATTAATCTAGTCCGTAAAACGTTTATTGCACACCTGCTGGGTACTGGGCACTACTTTAGGTGGAACGAAGCTCTTTATCTCACAGAGAGGCAGATTAAACAAGTCGACAAGTTTACTTCAAGCTCCGTGAAACAGGACAGCTTATTGTCCCATAATTTCCCGAGTTCTGATCCCACTGCTAATTCCATCAGGAAATCTCTTTTCTTAATTCTAGGTGTTCCAAGTCCACACACCCTTAGGGCCCTTCTCCTCCAGGAACCTTCCTCCAGTCTCTTGAACTCGAACCAGATCTTAAAAGCTAACATATATTAGGCACTTACATGTGCCAGAAAGTAGTCTAAGCTTATTGCATAGTTTAACTCTTTTTATCCTGACAACAACTTCACAAAGTCAGCATTGTTAATAGCCACATTTACCAACCAGGAGACTGGGGCTCAGAAAGGCTAGCTCTGTCCCATATTGTCCCATAGTAAGTGGTAGAGTTAGAATTAGAACTTGGCCAGGTTGTTTCCACAGCCCATGCATTTAAATATTATTCTGACTCTGGCCAAAACTCCTTTCATTCTGAGCCATGTTGAAGGATGCTGGATGAGGCAGCCTGGTGTCAGGGGGAGATCATTGGAAGTGTAAACAGTGGTCCAGGTCTGAGCTCAAACTCAAGCAATTTTGTCATCTCTTTGGACCTGGGATGTTCAAGGCCCAGTGGGAGATTCAAATATTCATCATACAGGATCATCTGTATGTAAATATCCTGTGGCATGGCCCCTGAGACTCAGACTCGATGCTCAATAAATGCTTGCTGAATCTCAATTTGGATAAAGCAACTATGATGGTCATTTCTTCAGTGGCCACACTTTGACCCTCCACAAAGTAGGTGCTCTTAGTAGTCTATCACGGAGACAAGGCACCTTAGGAAAAGGTGGTACATTTTTCTTGTTCGCTATCTGATTCTTCTATATATAGGCTTTATGCTAGCTGGACCAGGTCTTAGTCACCTCTGTGAACACCCTAGCTCATGTAACATGTAACTCACACAAGACATGAGGTAAGATCTTAGTGGATGAAAAGATCCCAAATGGAACAGACTTTTAAATTTGAAGACTTGCCTTTCTGGTCACATGGCCACAGCTGATTGGCCTAATCTGAGTCAGGTGTCCACCCTGGTATAATCAATTCCTCCAAGGAGTTTGGAGTTGGGACTTTGAGGTGGAGTTGGTTGGCTGTGGGAAACAAGTCAAAAGAGTCCTGTGAACTTTGGGGCTTGTTTCAATTACCATGGCTGTGAAAGAAATCACTTCAGTGGTATACAATGACCATCTATTATGCTCATAGATTTCTAGGGTCTGGAACTCACATAGGGCACAGCGAGACCAACTATATCTATACCACCATGTCTGAGGTCTTAGAAGATTCAAAAGGTTGGGGGCTGAAATCCTCTCAAGCTTCTTTCATTCACATGTCTGGCTATTCCTGGACATCAGCTGGAGGCCTTGGTTTCTTTCCACATTGTCTCACCACATGGGCTATTTCGGGCCCCCTTGCAGCATGGTGACTAGGTTCTAAAAGTAAGCATGCCCAAAGGGAAAGCCTAGGTGGAAGCCATATTGCCTTTATGACTTAGCCTTAGATGTCATTCAATGTCACTCATGATATGCATTCTATTTACTGAGGCTGTCATAAAGCCCTGCCCAGCTTCATCAGAGGGAGAGATAGACTGCCTTTTGAGCAGGGCTAGCAAGTTTATAGAAGGACATGTAGGAATGAAAATATCGTGGTAGTTCATGTGGAAAACGTGGTCTGCCACAGGTGCTAAGGCAGCCATGCGGGGTGCCGCCACATGGGTTATATGCATGAAGAAGAGTCAAAGATGGCTTTAGAGGGAAAGGGGCTATTGAATAGAGCAGATAAACCAGGGAGTGAAGAAAACACCATTTGGCCAGAGAGTCAGGGTGTTGCAGGTTGGGTTCTCTAAAGGAGACCCTCAGAGTTTGGAGTACAAGGTGTTTATGAAGGAATAGCATCTGTGAAAGGGAGAGGAAGCAAGGTGAAAAGAAGCTGACCTGCGATAGAGGTCCAACCAAGCTTTAGCCAACACAATGGGTCCTGTGTTTACCTCTCAGTGTTGTCCCTTGTCAGTCTGAGTGACTGGGCCTTTATGTGCTGCCTAGTTTACTCATGGACTGTGGACCACTCCAGCAAGGCCAGGACCTTGGAGGGGGCTGACCTCTATAGTTATGGCAGGCCCTCTGAGGAGTGGTGAGCTGGAAGCTGCCTGCTGACGGAATTCTCCTAGGTAACATGTCAAGTTTTTTCTAGAATGGAGGATCTGTGCCCTGCATCTCTGTTTGTCACAAGGGGGAGGGCTTTCCGGTTCCTGTGATCTGGTTTGTCTGTCCTCCAAGTGGGTTCAATAAAACATCCTTCCGTATTTATGATACACCACTCTTCATTGAGCTGGATTGATTTACACATCCTGCAACCCAATATACCAGCCTAAGGCTCTAGGTCTCACTTTCTCTACCTATAAAGCAAGGGGGTTGGATGGGTCTTCCTGTTTTGAAATCTGGTGATTCTTATCCACTTGTCCACTGCTTTTTACAGGGCCAGCTCTGTAGAAAGTGGAACACAGCTCACTTGTTGAGAGCTTCTTATCAGATACAGACCCAGACAGACACAGTCTGGCTTAGCTGTTCATGTGATTTATTCACCCTGTTCTGAAAAAAGCACCAGGTGATATCTGAGCTATGGCAGCAGCCAGCTGGCTCCCAACACATTCCAGGTATAAAAATAGTTCATAAGCAGCACCGAGTTCCAATAATTCTGACTTCAGTCTCTAGAAACTCCAAAATGGCCTGGAAAATGCTGGCAAACCCAGTTTCTGCCATGAGCCTCCAGGGTCTCTCTTTGCAAGGTACAGCAGTGCTACTGGAAGCAGATCGCTGAGTGCACAAAGGACACAAATACTAGGCAATTCTGGCCATCAGACTCTTGCTCTTCTCCCAAAAGTCAGAGTAGCATAAATTTGGATGACACACAATATTGGGGTTGCACAAACCAGGATTTAATTTCTGTATCTGCTGTGTACTGACCATTAAACTTAGCCTTACTTAGTAGGTTTCCCTGCCCTAAAAGTATATCCAAAATCTATCTTACAGGCTTAGTGTGAACCCTGAAAAGATAATATAAAGCATTTAAGCACAATGCCAGGCATGTCCTTAATGAATATTATCAGCATCAAAGAAAAACAAACTCTCCATTATCAAGCCTCTGCTCTGTTCCAGGAACTGTGATAACATAACAGAACTATCAACGTGTGCTTCTGACCTCAAGGAATTTTGGTATAGTAGGAAAAAAAAAAAAGTACTGTTCTAATATAATATAAACTTTCATACTGCAGCTAAATGCCCTTGGACAAGTAATTTCACTTTGTGGGTCTCCATGTCCTATAAAGTGGAGAGAATTCTGCTCAATTTACAGACTCATGTTGATGACTGGAGATGATGATGTATGATAAGGTGTCCAGCACGTAGTAAGAGATACACTATGACCTCCATTCTGGACTACTGGCCTTCACCATTCTGTGGGCTGCTGCTCACCAAAGATGATGGCCAAGCACTTCATTTGAAGCCTCGGGAATTTGCTAGCCTCTTCAGCCATTTGGCCTGCTTCAAACTTTATGGGACATATTAAGTCAGACGTTCAAAACACTAGAGGCCCACGAGCCAGGAAACTCCAGGCTCAGGACGGTGCTTTGCCACTGCGAGTTTCACCATTCTAGTGTCCCCATTTTTTGGGGAGCGGGGAGGGACAAGGAGATTTGGAGCTAGGCAGCTGGCGCTTATGGTATGGACTCTGCTCTTCGTGTGTGAAATCTAACAGACGTGCCTCAGTTGGAGGCCTCCGTTTCACTTGTGCCAAGGGTCTAGGCTCTACCTCCTTCATAGAGCATTGTGCCATTCAATGAGGTAGTGTATGTACAGATTTAATCCCGTGTCTAGCTCAGGGATTCATAAGTGTTTGCTGTTAAGTATTTTTATAACTCAACACATAGGCAGCACATATTCAAGATGGAGCTGAGTTGAAGAAATTAGCGTTCAGTGAATTTACTCTGTTGTTTTCTATTTGCACTCTGACTGCCTGACACACGGGAAGTGCTCCATGCCTGTTGGTCCTGTGGCCTTCCAGACAAATGTCACTTTCAATCCAGGTATCATGTGTGAAGACCATTTCTGTTTTCACATTTTTTAGTTTCTTTTTTTCTCCCCTGCCAAGGAGCTTGAATCTTTTCCCTGTGGATGAAAAGTATTTTTCCTGACCTTGAAACTTCAGGCAAAAGGTCCCCCAGGGAAAGTCATGAGGGAAGCGGGATGTGCACTTACTTGCCGAGATTGTCGACGGTCATGAGTCAGGCCAGGGGGCCCCAGGCTCATGCTTACTTGGCACCATTCCTCTGGGCTGCTCGTGACTTTGTGATCACCTTTGGTGATTCTCGTAGAAGGAACGAGTGAGTCTCTGGTGCGGACACACACATACATGCACGTGTGCAAGTTCGTAATGACTCACGTCTTCTCCTAATGTCAGCTGGTTCCCATGGAAAGCTGGGTGGCTCCGGTGCGCCTCTCAGTTCCCAAACTGACTATAGAGAGGCAGTGACTCACTGCTCAAAATGCGGCGAGTGGGGAAGCCATGGTCAGCTTGGCTACTACAAAGGATCTTGGAAGCTATGGGCCCAGAGACAAATCACATTTCTGGACTTTTGAGAGAACTATGAAACCCTCTAAATTTAGATTGGGCTCTCTTCTGGGATCAGTCAGCTCGGCAAGAGATGTCATTTCATTATGAAAACCTGACCTGAAATCCTGATAGCCCAACAGCCTGTGCATTTGTGTGCTCCTGGCCAACAGAGATCATCTGACAGAGGCCTCCACGTCAGTTGTAGAATTGTTTCCCAGCCCAGGCTCCTTCCAGTCCCCAACCTGCTGGAAATCACCCCCAAACGTGCTTGGAAAGGTGCTGATAATTTCCAAGGGTCTCCCAGGGGCTCTGTGGGCATTGTATACAATCTCTTGGTTAACCTAGTCCCCCTTTCCAGGAGACATTCATCAGGGACCTCACGGTAGCAGAGCCAGAAACTGAACCTCAGCGTGCCTGACTCCAGAATCTACACTCTTCCTACTACACCAGGGTGAATCCTCCACTAACCTTGGTTTCTCTTAACCAAGCCCACTTCTTTACACTCCACTAACCTCCAAGCACAGCTCACTGAAATGAAGGGAAATGGGGCAAAGCATGGGACATTAGGCAAAACTCAGGGTTGGTTGGTTGTCTTTTACTAATAAGATTGGCTAGACCATCTCTTGGCTTTACTCTTACTTGAATGGTTTAGAACCTTGGTTTTCAACATAGGCTATACATTCAAACTCCCTGGGGAAGTTTTCCAAAACACCAGTGTTCAGGCTTCTGTCTAGAGCTTTTGATTGAGTTGGTCTGGACAAGAGCCCTGACCATTATTTTCTGACAGCTTTCCAGTGATTCTAGTGGGCAGGCAGGAGTGACGACAGCTATAGAACCTGACCCTTCCCACTCTTGCACGTTAATGGTCACAGTCATTGCCTAATTGCCCATGCCAGAAACATGAGGGGGTGACCCCTTGCTCCCGCCCTACCTCTGTCACACCTGATATACCACATCCCTGTACTTCCAATATTTGCTCCAATCCGTTCTGTTCTTTCTGTCCTGGTCTCTCCAGAGAAGTCACTGTCACTCTTCTACACAAGTGCAGAAGCCACGGAGGTGGGCCAGCCAGTTGTCCAAGCGTCCATATCCCTCTCTCCTTGTTCTTGCTTGAAACTTGATTTTGGGTAAGCACTCATCGCTCTCCCACATAGCTCAGGGACATTGCTACCCTCTACATTTTAGAGGTCGGTCCTAATAGAGCTAGTCTGGGCATGAGACACCACCCAACTACTGGAGTAGATTTTTCTTCTTCCCTGCTGGATGTGAGCAATGAAGCATATAGACCAGATGGTCCTTGGCAGCCATTCCGGGCCTAAGAAGGGAACCAGCCTTCGGATGACATATATATCCAGATGATTATGCTATGGTTTGAGATACTATGAAGGGAAACAGCCTTAGGATGATATTTATGTCACTCTAAGGCCCTTATAGTATAAATTACTAGATTATATTACATAGTATATGTTACTATGTTATATATTATAGAAAGAGTACATTAGAACACATTAGACATAACAGTAAATATGCTCTAAGTAAGCTATGAATGAATGACCTCATTATCTGACTGGAATCAAGGCATCAGTGTACCCAAGAACAAAGACTGGCAAACTTTTTCTATAAATGGACAGTTTGTATAGAATTTAGGCTTTGTGAACCACACGGTCTCTGTTACAGACTCGCAGCTCTGTGGTTGTAGACCAAAGGTCATTGTAGATAATATGCAAATAAATGGGTAGAGCTGTGTTCCAATAAAACTTTATAAAAACACTCAGTGTGCCTAATATGGCGGTATTTGGCTGATCTATCATGTGGGGCGGGGGCGGGGCAGGGAAGGAAATGTTGGACAGGTAAGGAATGACAAATATTTGGCCTCTCTGCAGAACTGCGGTCTCCCATGACAGATGTCACTAATCGATTATGAGCCTCTTTCAGGCTGAACCTGCATGTGCTCTCATACTCCTCACCCAAGCGCTATCAATCAGAGTCAGTATGCTGAGCACAAGCTCTTTGCCACCCCTGCCTAGACAGTGCTCTGTGGTTCCTCATAGAAGCCCTCTGGATGGTAGCTCACAGACCTGGGTTTTCTACTTGCGCTGTGTGGACATTATTCCAGACAGTCTCTCCCTCTGGGTCTCGGATATATCTAATGTTGGGAGCTTTGCTGACAGGAACTTGAGAGATTAAGTAGGCAAAGCCTTCCTTAAAAGAAGAAAAATAAAAGCTGTCTGCTTTTATTCGGTGTTTGCTGTGTGGTCAATTAAGCAAGAGAAAATAATTTAAGCCAGTTGTGATAACATAGCTTTAGAACCTGGGCTCATATTTTTTCCTTCCCACCTTGCGGAGTTATTGAGGTCAGAGCACGGCTGTAGTGGCAGGAACGGCTGATGGGCTGAATCCCGTTCCAGATGCCACCTCTCCTCCCATTGTGCCACTTGTCAAGTTTTCCAAATATGCCCCCTTCACCTTCCATTTCTGTGTTATTTTCATTCTGAGGCTCCTGACAGGTTTAATTCCTCAGCTAAGCCCTCTCCCCGTCCAAATGTCGCCACCCTTGTCATACGATTTATTTTCCACACACACTGAAAATCAAGCTCGAACATTTTTCTCAACTGTGAACTCTTGAGACATAGCCTTTGGAGCGGCCATCCATCATGGTGGCAATACTATAGAGAGTGGATTCTTTATTTGTTTAGTACTTTCCATTCTAGATCAGATTTCGTCGAGGGCAGCCTGTGTCAGCAGAAAGATGCCCTTTCGTTGGGTATGTGTCCTTCCTGTCCATCAAGCATGAATCGGGAAAAGGAAGCAATCTGAAGCACCTACTACGTGCCAGCCACAGCGCTGAGTGGCTTTACATACCCAGTTAATCCTCCAAGTCATCCCGGGAGGGAGAGGTTAGTCCCCATTATGCCGATGAGGCAAGGGACTCCGAGAAGTTAAGAGGGTAGTTTGGTAGGTGTTTCCAGAATCCTGGTTGTAGGTCAGGTTTCCAGAGAATACGAACCAACAGTACAAGTATGCAAACATGTGCACATATATGTACACATGCATTCTCCTCTAGCATCCATCTTTCTATATCTGAGAGATTAATTTTAAAGAATTGGCTCATTCATTATAGAAGCTGGTAAGTAAAGTCTCCAGGGCCGGCTGGCAGCCTATAAGTTCAGGGAAGGGTTGCTATGCAGTGAGTCTCAAATCCTTAGGGCAGGGCAACAGACTGGAGACTCAGGCAGCGTTCGTGTTACAGGCTTGAGGCAGAATGTTCTCTCCTCTGGGAAATTCAAATTTTGCCCTCAAGGCCTTTAACTACTTCGTTGGATGAGGCCCACTCACATAGAGGATAATCTGCTTTATTCCAAGTCAACTGGTGATAATGGTTCATCATATCTACACAAGAGCTTCATGGCAACATCTAGATTACTATTTGACCCAACATGTGTGCAGCCTCACCCAGCCCAGCTCACTGCCACATAAAATTAACCACACTAGTCCATTACGGTCTCTATTTCTCATACTTCCTCAGGCTTGAACAAGTGCTGAAAGATTTTTTTCAGCTTTCTTACATTCAGTTGCTAATGTAGAGTGTGCACAAGGCCAGCATAGGATGTGGAAATTGGGGGACTCCCGTTGAATGTGGCGGCATGTCGTCCACAGTGGACTTTTGGTCAAGTTTGTGGTTAGAATCTTGCTTTACTGGCTCTATTGTGCTCTTAGGATCTGGATGTCCCAAGATGGCTTTTGTGTCCCTCCATTGTAGGGCCTTTGCCTACTTCTGCACACGCAGTACTCCAGCCACTGACTTGTCATTTTTCCTAACAGATGCTCTGTTTACCTCTGTGCTTTCTCACACAGTTTTTCCACGAGTAACGCCAAGACGACCCCTTAGTATCCAGCGTAATTACCATGTTCTTGGGAGCCTTCCCAAGTCTGCAGGGAGGCTGTGACCCACAAGTGAATGTAACTGACCACAGGGCTTATCACACTGCCTGCCTGGTCAGCGATGAGCATCATGTGGGCATAGTTGATGCCTCATTTCCTTGGACCTCCAGGGTGTAGAGTCATGTCTGGCAGAAGGTGGACACTTAATAAATATTTGTTCAATATCGAGCGAAAGAGGAGAGTGCAATCTTTGATATTCTTGGTCCTTTCCTTAGCGTTTCAGAGTTTTTCTTCTTTCCCCTCAAATTACTGTCTGAACGTGAGTTCCTCCAAACACCCGTCATTATATCATAAATGTTCCTTCTGACGAACAATTAAAGAAGCCAAGAGGTGACCATCTTCTCTCAGTGGAATTCATGTCAGCCATACAGTTTGCTCTTTTCTTAGAAGGAGGGTCTGGTGAGCTGCCCTGGACCCAGGTCATGAAGTTGGGGTGTAGTGATCAGATGGAAACAGAGTCATTGCCCCATGGACTTGTCCTGAAACCACTCCAGAGAGAGTGACAGGAAGATGACAGGTCCACAGGTTCAAAGTTCCTTCGAGGTGGTCTCAGTCCCATTTACTGCCCCCAGGAGCCTTCTCCCGAGTTTGATGTGGACACATTAGAAGCAGGCATGGAGACAGTGATGTATATGTGTTTAGTCTGAGCTTGTCCAGCATCACTTAGGAGTGCAGCTGCCTCGAAAAGAGAAGAAAGATGGGGTGTTAATCATGATGGCAGGCCAGTCCTTCCTCCTTCAGTCTATCCGCCAGGGCTCCAGGGCTCATTACCATGTTATTTCATTTTACTCTTCTTGAAAAAAAAAAAAAAAGACACAGAGAGCCTCCGCATTTGGAAACCTTGAGGAGTTCCATTCAAGTTCATTTATTTCAACATCTCCAGAATATCTACTTTTCAAATTTATTTAGAAATTATTTAAGGCCTGAGCTATGCACTGGGGATGCGATCATGCGTGAAGAGATATAAACCCTGCCCTCAGGGAACTTACAGTCCACCAAAGGAGATACCTATGCTGTGCCAACTCTGTGCACGGAGAATGCCCAAATGGACACTGCTCTGCACAAACCCCAACTTGGAGCAGAGCATAGTCTCCAGGCTTGGCTCTCTGCCAGGTCTTTACAGCTATCACCTGACTTCATCTTCACAACAGTCCTTTGAAGTGAAGGATGACCCTTTGATTATTCTGATCAGAGAGATGAGGAAACAGTGTAAGGTCCTTAGGAGACTTTGTAGAACAGCCTAAAGTCAGGAAACTGTGGATTTGGTTCAGACTAAGCCTGACTGGCTATGAAGCCAAGCTAGTCACCCATCAACAGCGCCCTAAGTGTTATCCAGAGGTGCATGCAAGACAGTGGGGGGAGGGTGCATTTGGGCCAGGCTTCAAAAAATATATAGGAATGCATCATGAGGAAAATGTGGACAGGTACCATTCCTGGAATGTAGGGTGCTGCTGGGGTCATGAGATGGAGTGATGGAGGGAGGGGTAGGAAATGAGGCTGCCAAGGGGGAGTTAGAGCAGTTGTGAAGAGAAGCCCTGACTGTTTCTTTAGGCGATAGAAGCCATTGGTTTTGTTTAAGGGATCGATCTGGCGGTACAAGAGGCAAGTAGGAAAGAACTGTAGAGACAGAGCACAGAACCGGCCAGTAGGGGGTGACAGAGAGTACATGGCTGGAAGATCAATAGGCTATTATAAGTGGTCTTGTAAACCAGGATTCTTTGTTGTGGGCCCACTGGATCAGTCCGTCAGCAGTGTTCCTTTGAGAAGTTGCTGATCAGTGGTTCCTTGCTGGCTGGTTAGGTAGAGATTTCCCCCATTTCTAATTACAGGCTCTTCAGCCAATATCAGATTTTTTTCAGCCACATGAAGAAACAAAACAAATCCCTATATTTATGTAATAATGATGATGATGTCGGGGACACTGGGATACACGGCCCAGACCTCGCCTCTACACTTAAGGAATTATTCCTCCAGCTGCTGGGAGGGCTGCCAGCAGACAGCCCTCAATTCTTACTCCCCTTCAAGGATTGCATCAGCTGAAGACAGCTACCTCTCCTAAGGTCACACGGTCTTCCTCGGGCACCTACATCCAATGACTGAACTCTGCGAGTCAGGTATACTGGCTTCCTTCCCCCAACTGGGGGTAACTGAAAGGTCCTGTCCACTTTAGAGCTTTCTATAACGTTGACTGAGACCACTGTTGAGGCTGCATGGTAGCCCACGTCTTCCTCTGCCGGACTCTGCCGCCCTCCCGGGTAGCAGAGAATCCTGAGAGCATTCCCTGACAGAGTCTCCGCATGCACATCCCCAACTCTACCTGCTACTTGGGGGACCTGCCTAGTGGCAAGTCATCATTGCAGCTAATGTTTATCTGGGCTTGCCAGCCTGTGAAGGAGTTTGTGTACATAATCTTGTTTCATTCTTACCATCACTGTGGGTCACAGGTAGCCCATGGTATCACAATAGCATTCAGTGGGCCCTAAAGAATATTCCCACCTTACCTTCAGTCCTTCTTAGGAGAGAGCAAGACAAGGATGCCTAGCCCCTTTAGACTTTATTAGAAACAAAGTCCCACAGAAAAAGAATTTTCTCAAGATGACAAGTCTAGGAATGTTACAGTTGTCTAATTTTTGGTCCATTCTGTTACGTACAGATATTCCCATTTCTGACCAGCTTTTTAGCTTATTAATATTCGAGGCAGGCTGGGCCCAGGATTTATATCCCCTGGTATGAAACCTGGACATTTATCAGTCTGTCTTATAAACTCTACGTGAAATGTGTGGCCTGAAACAAAATGGAAAAGAATGGCTCTTCTGCATTATCAGCGCCAAGGAGGCCCTTAGCAGGTAACCCGGGGGTTTCCAACTGCTTTCTACGGAGCTGCCTCACGGGATCCCTGCACAAAAACACAGGGAAAGATGAAGGGAAGAAAAGACGATGGGGAATAGGGCTGGCGAAGGAAAGAAAGGAGAGCAAGAGAGAAGAGGGAGAGGTGAGGAGG